GATTTGTCTTCACTGGACTTTTTCTCAAAGCCCTCAGAACTCCCCAGAGGAGAGTTCTCCGGCCTGACAAACTCAAATCTGACACTGGTGTCCGTTGCCAAGTGAGCACTCTGAGAGCTTGGCAGCTGGCGAGGACGCGAGTCCATCCCTCCATTCAAGGGGGTCTCCAATCCTTTCCCTTCCTCACACACAACATCACTGATTTGTCTTCACTGGACTTTTTCTCAAAGCCCTCAGAACTCCCCAGAGGAGAGTTCTCCGGCCTGACAAACTCAAATCTGACACTGGTGTCCGTTGCCAAGTGAGCACTCTGAGAGCTTGGCAGCTGGCGAGGACGCGAGTCCATCCCTCCATTCAAGGGGGTCTCCAATCCTTTCCCTTCCTCACACACAACATCACTGATTCCATCATGCGTCTTACTTTTACTGAGACCCTTTTTGGAGGCTCCCTTCCCTTGGCCTTTATTTTTTCCTCCAAAGAAGCTCGGCAGGGTACATATGCTCCTCTTCCCCCCAAAGAGCTTGAAGGCGGTTTTCTTCAGCTTGCCAGGGGGTGCCTGCTCCACAGCCACGACAGAAACATCTCTCCATGCATGCAGCTGGTCACCTGCTCTCCTCACCACCTCCCTCTGGTCTCTTCCCTCAACTTGCCTGCAGATGACAGATGGAGAACTGGTTCCAACTGCTTCCTCTGCACAATGCATTTCCATGACAGCTAGATATATTTAGCTGGTATAAGAGTCTTCTTCAGAGTATGTGGACCAAAGCATCATGATTGATCTAAAGGAGAAAAACAAAGAAGAGAGACATGAGAAACCATCAGTGCTTAGCTTGGAATCACATGAAACAAAGCAAAGAGGTTAGGCACATTCATGGCCACAGCTGGAACACCGGCTAGAGAGATCTCTAGCACTCCCTCTATAGGTTAGCTCTTTATCCTCTTTCCTCCCAATAATGGGTTTGAACTTAATGCTGGTTGTTAGACTTCTAGTTTGTTAAGACAGGGCAGAAGTACAACTTCTTCAATATAAACAATTCTCATATAGAGAGGCATATGTGCTTCCTCTGGCTCATTATGGTTGTGGAAGAACATGCAAGATGTGAACACATCTCAACAGAGTACTGGACCAAGACCCACCAAAGTCACTGGACTGATTTTAGTTAAGCACCGAGATCAGAGGATGGAGGCTTTTTGCTTTTAAGTGTCAGATACAATTCTCTAAAACAATTCTCCAAAATATTGTGGTTAACATTTAAATACGCCCACTTCAAAGAGCAAGCACTAAAATGAAAGCATTTCTCTGACTAAAGAGAACGATTTTTATTTGCACTAGATTTAACTTGTCTTTAAACATCATTCAGAAAAGCTAGACTTACATTAAAAACCAGCTCAGTACAAACCTCCCTAATCAGATTATCTCAAATGCCAGAGATGGAGGCTTTAATCTGATGCTGCTCAATGTGAACAAAACAGAAATATTATTTCTTGTTGGCAGGGGGACAAGAAAGGGGCTATAGAGAATAAATCTAGCGAAAACCATAATGCACTGCTGGGCTTTTATGTCTGCAGCTTAGATCTTTCTGGTTTGAGGCCAGTAAAGCTCGCCTCTCCAACTCTTTAAACAAAAACCCTGTGCATGGGGAGGAGGCGGAATCCAGATCATGAGGCTCCTAACTTGAGGGCAAATCCCGAAGAGGAAGGTTTTATCTCGAATCTCTGGGGAACCTGGCAGTCACTGGAGGAGCAAGAAAGCAGCATTTTTATTAGCTTCTGTTATTAATAAAAACCTTGGTGTTCACCCTGCTCACTAAAATTAATGGCTAAGAAACTGAGGGGGCAGGTTGTAATTATATCAAAGTGATGGTTACTAGAACATTACATAGCAGAGTGATGCACAGGTAGCTATCTGAAACTGAATTCATCCTCTCCTCCCCTCTACGGACTGTTGCACTGCAGTGACAGCCCGCATGGTAGCCAAGCACGCACACAGTGAAAGCAAAGGAGGGCACTTTGCCATATCGTAACTGGCTCTCCCCATACACACATGTACTGTACAATTCGTGAGCTCTAGCACAGTATTAGTGCTTGAGACAGGGAATAAGAAGCTATTTCCAGCTCTGCTGTTGAGTTGCTGTGTGATCTCAGGCAAGTCAAACGCTCTGCTCCCCAGTTTCCCCAGCAAATGATGGGGTCTAAGAAAACAATCTCCTGCCTGTTTCAATGTCACTGGTGTGTATAATGGCCTTAGCCTAAGCTTAATTGGGTAGTCCCCACCTCCCCTTGCTGCAACTGTATGAGGGGCAGCAAGGGAGGGGACAGGAGTCAGTGCAGGGGTGTCACCTGCCCCCCACCCTCTACCTCTATCAGAGGCAGCAGGGGTGGGGGTAGGAGAGGCTACTATACAGCAACCTCTGCATGCAGCAAGCTGAGGCTTGCCACGGGCAGAAGCTGCTCTGGCAACAGCTCCTATCCACCAGCGTCCCAGCGGGTAGCTGTTGGTGGCTGCAGGGGCTGCTGCACCCGCCTCACGAGGGTCCGGGATCGCTGTGCTTCTGCATTTTAAATGTAGTAAGAGCTGCTTGGCAATTTTTAATCGACCTCACGATTAGCAAAATCCCCATTCCTTAACATACTTACTTAGAGGGCCTTGCTACAGAAACATGCACAGTACAGTCACCGCAAGTTCCACTGTAAGTGTTCCCTTGTTGCTTGGCAAATATACTTAAGCCACTGGGAAATCTGATTAATCAATGTTATTGGGATGCACAACGTTATGCTTTGGTCATCCCTCTTGTTAATTCCAGTTATGCTGGGGACCACGTGCATTTACCCAAAGCACAAAGGACAAGGGTAGAACAAAGCTGAGAGAGACAGCGTTACTTTCTAAAGGTTGTTCCTTGTCAGAACAAGCTTCCTCCCACACACACTCCCAAATCCCCATCACGCTGAGGTGGTTGCTTTGCAATTACATCATCAGTTCTCCAAAGACCAGCAGGAAACAGACACTCCAGGAAATTTTATTCCTAGCTAAGGCAACCATGGGATGGGACAGTCTACAAGAAATTCTCTCTCTGGAAGAGAAAGACCAACACAATCAATGCCTAGTTTGAAGGCTCTCTTTTAAAGGCAGTATATGACCAAAGTAACCGGGTTATGCCTCTTACTGAATAATTTCAATAGCCCTACTGAGTTTCTGCTCTCTTTAACAGTTAGAGATGGGTCAACACTGGATCCTAACCCGTTTAACTTTCAGTTAGTGAAGTCACCTGTACAGTTCTGATGCCAGGTCAATTCCAAAGTGTAAAAAGGACCTATTTTCCACTGCACAATTTACAAGATTATATATCATCTAATCTTAATCCAGACACCAAATCAGCCTTACACGGGTTGTAAACCTAATCTGGATCAGGATGCTTAAATGCTTTGGCAGCCCATTGTTACTAAAAGAGTGTCCATCTAAACCAGTTTTGTTCATGATTTTGTCAGAAATCTCATGATACTGAAACCTGGTCTATACTACAGGGTTAGGTCAACAAAATATCATGCTTCCACAGCTAGGCTGAGGCATCTTTACCTAAATTTAGCTCCCACTGAACAAAATGCTTGCCTATGTCTAATTACTAACACCACTTCCTTCAGTGACACAGTCACAGGCAAAGCCATTAGGTTATTGAATTGTCAGTGCGGACTAGAGATGTAAAATATAATTTAATTAGTTAACCGGTAAACATTAAGCTTAACCGGTTAACCTTAAGTTTAGCCAATTAACTATTATATAGGTAACCATTAACATCCCTAATCAGAGATAGGCTCTAATCCACAGTGCTTAAAAACCTGAATCAAATATGATGCCACAGAGTAGAGATGCATGTTAGAGAGTCATGTACCTGCACAACTCAACTTCCCAGAGCTATAGCAACTTTCCTTCTTTTTCTATATAGCAAGAGAAAAAGAGTGTCACATTTTGTGCAGCCTGGCCTTGATTCTGGCTGCAACACAGATTTTGCTGATCATGCAAAAAGATGAGAAAGCTCCCAACTACAGCAGAGGACGTTTCTAGTCAGTGGATCTTTCTACAGAGCAGGATGTTAAGGTTTAACCAGTTAACTGGTAAGTCTCACCCTTAATGGATCACCTGCTGGGGGCAAAGGGCTGCTCCAAGCCTGTAGGGGGAAGGGCGCTGCGTACAGAGCACCTGCTCCATTGCAGCCGCTGCCTGTGGCAGGCCGGGCACCCCGCAGACAGGAGCGGCTCTGACCAGGCTTGAGCAGCCTTGCTTGCAGAGGGAAGGAAAGGCATTTCAGCCCTCTTCCTGCCACTCATCCCTCTTTAATTGTTTAACTGATTAAACAATATGTTTTAACCCATTAGCCAATTAAACAGGATCTTACATCCCTACTACAGAGGTTCAAATACCTTCATCTAAGCAGGTGGCAAAATGCAAGTGACTTTTGCCCAAATCATTCACAGAGGATTATACCAGGCCCTCAAACTTTTGAGAAAACATTTAAAGAAAATTCACTGTTGAATCTCTTAGCTACGGTGTTTAAAAGCAAACATTTGGCACTCCATAGGATTAAGGAACATTTTTATTCCCTTACTATCCACGTATCTACTCCCCTTGTCAAGTCCTTCTCCCTCATGAAGACTGATATCTCTTATGGTAAACCAGCTGCTAGCTTTTCATTATGTAGCATCAGAGATTGTTTTCAGTCACATACAAGAAAGCTAATCAATGAATGCACATAGTATTTACTCTGGACTGCCATAGTTTGTTTTACCAGGGCTATTTCCCTGCAAACAAGTTATACTGGAGGCTAAAATGGAGAGTCATTCTGTCCAGCACATAATAGACAGAGCTTTATGTTTTTAGGGCTAGATCCTGCATTCCCGTGGATTCATGGACTAGCATTGAAACCAATGGGAGTTTAGGATAAGCGAGGACGGACAATCAGGCCATAACCAATTAATTTGCACAGCTGCC